GAAGAATAATGTCATTTTTCGATGTTTCTTTTTTTAAATGTCAATTTTGACAGGTTAAGGAAATCACGTGACCTATTTTGTAGACGCCATTTGACATCATTTCTTAAGCAAAATCTACTGCCAAAATCAAATTTCACATAAAACGATAAATAAAAAAGTTTCCCATTTGATGCGGACTTTATCGGTGACACTGTATATGCATATGACATATGCTTCTAATTCTAATAAATGCCTTCACTTCTTTATGGTACCTACCTTTCAAATTATCGGCATACTCAGCCAAATCGATACTTCTGGCCCATTTGATGAATCTAGGATTGGTCCAAACTAACGGATCAGCGTCCATAGTTTCACATTGGTGTCTTCTAACAGCAAGAGCCTGAAATATTACATGCATTGAACGCAACGCAAAAATCGACATGGTGGAAAAAATGTTTCGGACATTTGATATGGCGAAGAAAACACATTTCAGTTGAACGGTTTCCATGGAAGCGTTCGGTTTTCATATTTGTTAAACGATCAATAATGTTCCTACCTGTCTGTCATATTTCATTATGCGCAACAAGTGGATACCGTGAACGATGGACGCCTGATGGAATTTTCTGGTGACGCCCAAATATTTTTCTAGTTCTTTCTTGCTGAGATGCTCCAGCATTCTGGCATCAACCATATTTACAGCAAAGTTTTCAGAATACTGAAACAAGGAGTGTATGTTTGTGATAACTTATATTCTTTGGAAGACATTCATTGGTGATAATTTTCCTGGTAATGACATACTCACCTGCGACAATCCCAAATCCGGTAGCCACTCACTAGAAACCCAAGTGTGTCCGAGTTGTGCTATGCAAGGATACCTCACGAGGGCCGGATTTCTATGTTCCTCGATAGCTAATCGGATCTTCTTCCGGTGCATAGGATGCGCGATCCCCAGACCGCATTCCAGCTCCAGATCACTCAGCTCCAAGAGCACCTGACCATGCAAAGGACCAATCTATAAGATTTTTACATACAATCACCTTCTTTCCAGTGGAATTTCCCCCAAGGTTTAAAGAGATTCGGAAAACCGGATGAGAATATTGCAAAAGCTTTCACGAAGGGAAGTTATTATCGACATGGCGACATCATTCTCTTCCAGGCTCCCTTTGAATGCTATATTGAGTATTTAGGAGTCTACTTTATCCTATTGATATCTGGAGTGATCAATACTTTCTATCTAGATAAGTACTTTTCAAAATGAGGGTCATATCCCTAGGGGTTGGTTGGAGGAATTTGTAAAATAATTTGGAAACCATAAAATGTGTAATGATTCGAAAAATAAATTTGATGAAAACATGAACAAAACATAGCATCTCAACATGCAAAAACAAAATCAATTAAAATGCTTTTCGAACATATGCTCTGTTTTGGGTCACAAACAGTGATAAAATATTCAGTTTCCGGTATTATTTCAGTGCTCTGGAGTCACATAACTCGATATCTTTGTTTCAAGTCTTTGTTAAACACTGCACCATCATGAGTGTATCTGTATCTGTAGAGTAGGGAGGGTAAGCGTAGGCCCGTAGGCCACATGTTACCCATTATACATCCTCCCAAGGAGTTGTCCTCCTGGGTCATCGTCCATCCTGTCCTTTCCAGGAAGGTGGACAGGTCTCTGGAAGACATATCCTTTATATCAGCAGGTGTAGGCCAAGACTCGCCGAACACACACTCTCTTATTGACGATAATTCTGGAAATTCATAGGGCATACCTGACAGTTTCATCTTCCCATTCACACATCCTGCATAGAGGTTACACTAGTTATCTCATTTCAGTCAGATTTATGGGCCTATGGCCCCTTATCCTTTTGGCTGTCTGAGTTTCTCTTGAGTTCCTGTGGCGGGGCGGCAGGGGATTGCATGATCCTCTGTCGGCTTCTTTTGGCTCTTGGCCCTGTGTATGGAAGTCGCAGCGTACTTCTTTGGCTTTGCGGCCGTTTAGGTACTATTTCTTGTTTTATTTTCCGGCAAGCATGGATTGCAGTACCGGGAACTTCACTAGAAGCGCCTGGAACTGCCCTAAGGCCGTTGGGAAACCTTCGGGAGGGCTGCAGGCGTTCTCTGACGATAAGACGGCCCTCGCGTACGAGACGTCGCTCCTAATTGTGTTTCTTCCGACAGGCCTTGGGTTTGTGGTCTGTCTGTTTTCGTTCGGCCCATCTGAGGCCCTTTTATTTTCAGGGCGTTCTGGGCACCCATGGAAGCTCGCTGGGTGTTCTCCCTTGCAGTTAAAGCATCGCAAGGGCGAGTTCTTAGGCATTTTGCATTCCTTGGTCATGTGCCGTCCGGCACATCTGACGCAAGCTGGAACTGCTTTATAGTTGATTTGCTTGTGACCGAACTTTTGGCATCTGTAACATTGCCCTGCTTGGTTTCTCGGCTTTTGTGTTTCGGCGCTTACACGCACGTTTTGAATTTCGGTGTTCTCATATATTTTGTTTTGGCTCTTTGGGACCAAAACAAGTACGAACGGTATCGGTACCTTGTTAGCTTTACTCAGGCGGGCTACGGAAAGGATCTCAAATCCTTTGCCCTGGAGTTTGGTCTTCATGTCATCACACTCTATGGACTCCGAGACCCCGCGAAAAACTACTCTGTGTGGTTTTTCGCTTTTCATTGTATAGGTGTGGTAGGGTAATTTCTCTTGATCGAGGATCCGAGTAATTCTCCTATAATCATCTGTATTTTTAAGATTGACTTTAATTCCATCTGTTGTGTTCACCACCCGCAGTATGGAGATGTTTTGCGCAGCAGCAATCGTGTTAAATGCTTTCCACTATTCTTTTGCGCGGATGGTTATAGGTGGAGACTTACTTATCCGCTTTTTTGTGTGTTTCTGCCCGGTCATTTTTTGGGGCGTCTGTTACTAGTTCTTCTTCGCCTACTTCCATTGAGTCAGGTGGCGGCACTTCTGTTTCCTCTGTATTTGCCGACTCAGTTTTCTGAGTGGGCTTTTGAATTTGATCTTTCAGTGCCACGCCCGGCTTTTGTGATAAGGCGGGTGTGGTTTTATTTGATTTTGGTCCATTTAGTTCGGGAAAAACCGGGTTTCAACTGTTTGATTTGTTGAGCCGTTTCTGCCTCTTTTTTCCTCTTTTTTGGGACCTTTGCCGCTTGGCTTTCTTCGCCCGATATAATATCGTCGCTGTCCAGGTCTCTGATATCAGAGTCGGAGTCGATAAGACGATGAATTAGAGGTTTTTTGTTTCCCAAATTCAAGTCCATTCTCTTTGCAAAGAATTTATATGCTTCCACTTGTTCGGTACTACTTATTTCATAGTATTCTATAATAGTTGATATTATAGCCAGACCTGCTTCTTTTGGCTTTTTACGAACTTTCGTAAAATTGAAAATCATTTCTATGACTTGTTCCATCTAGAAAGATAGATCCTACACTTCGAAATTAGCACAACGAAAATTAGTCAACTTGTCAACTTGACAGCTGTCTGACATGTCCCTGCATAGAGGTGTGTCCAATAGGAGGTGGAGGTGTTCATCATGGGCATATTACGTTTTCCTTCCATCGCTACTCCATCAGTCTTACTTACTGAACTAGTTTGTGCAGATTTTGTCATATTCTTGTGAACATAATTTAATTGCCTTCTGATGATCTATCCTTGTTCTACAGAGATATTCTCTGAATGAACATAATTATGAGAATATTCCTACTCTGTTGAAGGAGGTCTTCAGTTCTTTTCTCAAATGATCCCTTCATAAAAATTATCTGTGTATATTCCCAAGTGTGTTTTAGCGCCACTCTTTATGTTTGTTATTGACACATTTCCAGTTCTGGTCCCAGATTAGAGATTTTTGTACACACAGATCTGACGAAGTCCCATGTATAGTGCTGACCATCTGCGTCAAACACATTTATCAGCTTGGCACTGACTAACTCGACACTAAGAAGAGTCAATCTGTTTCTACTTGCCAGTTACTCTTCTTCATGGTATTCTCAGACTTGTGAATTATTATTTTTGGGTTTTTTTATGTTTCTGTGAGAAAAATAGTCTACTCATGTCATGAGACTCAAAATCGATATTTCTCGCGGACACAATTCCACCTGGAAGACAGATGTGAATTGGGCCAGCAGATAGCTGTAATGTCCAGCGTCCCATGTTCGTTCTCGTGGTAGGTGTTTCCCAAAAATGTTTTCGTAATGACACTTTTGACGATTTGTGACTCAACCTTCGAAGTTTTTGTAGAAAATAAACATGAAGAACAACTCAGTGGCACTTGTGCTAACTGTGTTGAACTTCGCCTTTTGTTATATTAGCAACTAGCTCTGTAATTTATCTAAATATTTGTATGTAACTACAGCTGGGAAACAATGAAGAAGATTATTATTATTATGTTCGAGACTTTTTTTCCACATGATACATGATCTATTTTTACTTTTCACGTTATTACGAGAACTGAAAGGAGTTCAAATGCTTGTTTCATTTTTGACTACCAGACCGTATTATCATAAGTTTAACACCAACATTGTCTGATTTCAGTCCCCATGACATTCTATAGATTCATCTGGCTAGGAACAGAGCGCTACCTCTGCTTTCCTTTCGAGCCTGTCTGAATGTTAGTTATAGGTCAGTCTGGATTCCAAAGTCACTCGCAGATATTCAACCTCTTTCAACAAGTGTATCTCTTCAGTCCTGAGTTTCAGGTCAGGCCATATACGGTGATGCAAAACTGAAGCATGCAATCGTCGTACGAATTTTATTTCCAGTGCAAAGTGCAAAATGGGCCAAACAATACCCAAACATGGTCAAGATGATTTTTCACAAAATGGAGATACAACCTTCATGATTAGCCGAGCAGCCTGTAAAAGAGTTGTTCCTTAGGGAATGAAGTCTCTAGCAAACAAAATCCCTAATCGATACTTGAGAAACAAAGAAAATTAGAGCTGCCAACATTCCAACTCAAATTCTAATAATTCTACAGTCAGGTACACATCTACAGTTGAATGAAAGACTAACCTAAAGTGACGGTAAACGTCACAAAGTACTATAAATGGAAAACATACTCACCTTTCCACTTTTGATATTCTCGGCACACCTAGAACCATATTGCGCCATTCCCAAAGCTATTTCCAACCATGCTAATACTGTTGAAGCTCTCCAGCGTTCCATAGGAATGCTATTAGCCTCCCTCAGTAGCCTCAGTTTTTCTGCGTAACCTTCTTCAGTTAGAGGAGACCAACTTCGATACTGATCGTAACTTTCCGCTGAAAAACAACGTAAATAACTATATGGAAAACCTCATTGGAATGGAAGTGATAATTATCACGAAAATATTAAAAAAACAAACCTTGCAAAGAATTCTAAAAAATATACTGTAATTTTTTGTACAAAACCTTAGTTAATTCTAGATAAAATTATATATTGAAAAATCTGACTCTAGATTTGATAAAAGTGTAATTTCCCTTGAAACGTGAAAAAGCTCCCAGAAATGTGTATTTTCAACAATTAATAAACACTTGCGGAGAATTCTGTAATTGTCTTGAACAGCCATCATTCTACTTCGAAAAACTGGTGCAAGATGCCAGTAAAACTGGCTGCATATTGTACATGAGAAAAAGTTGGAAGTGTAATAACTGCCATTGCGATAGTCAACGTAAAATATTATTTTATTCATAAATATGGAGGTCGATCACACGGTTCTTCGGTGTCGATATTTTCCCAGATGAAAAAGCATTCGAACTACTGTATGACTGACGTTTGAGCGTCGTTGTAGTCATGTACAAGTTGGGCTAGACTAAACAAATGTATATATTACATCCCGCCGATGATCATACGCTTGGGAAAGTTAAAAACGCTGAGATGAGTTTTTTGTGGCTAGCGTTGCTGACACGAGGGCTTGGGAGTTTTTTTGGGAGACACGAAAAATCGGTCACCGAAGCCCGTCGAGACAATATCGGGGGACTCATCCCTCTGCCTTCGAGGCTGAGGAAGGTGGCCCTAATAGGAGAGTTATTTTGTTTCTAAGCGCGTGGTGCGAAATTTAAGGAAAATCGGTAGTGAAATCGTAAACCGGTGATGGGTACAGGGAAGTTGGAAGTAAAAGTATTGGTGTTTAAGACACACCGGGTCAACGGAACCCTATGGTTGACCATGAACCACCAAAGAGGCTTTATGTGAGTGTTTGTTTTTTTTTACTAACCAGTTGATATTTAGAGAGCGTTCACATATTATTTTCTCTGAGTTCACTTCCTATTTGCAAAGAGGTTATATATTGCTGGGTTCCTAGTGCGGGATGTTTAGCTGGAGTTCACATTACAATTACAAAAAATAACGCAAATTTAAGGTTATACACCCCTCTCCCTAAAGTAAAAGTGTAACTGAAAGTATTTTGTACTGCGTTGGAGAGTTTGTAGTTGTTTAACAGGTTGAATTAATAGTGAATAGTACAGTCAAATTGGCGGCGAATTATTTGTTCTACTTTTTTTATTTTATAGATTTTACACGTTGTTTTTTTTTTTTCATTTCGTCCATGGAGTCGTTGTTTTACAAATTATACTTTAAACTTGAAACCTTGGACTTTCATTTTCTCTTGGATTGAGAGAAATACCATAAGATGACGTTAAGAGAACAAAAACAAATTAGAGACTTTTTGTCAATCTATCGAGAAGAGAATAGTAAGTGAAAATGATTTCAATTAAGAATCAAATTTAGTTCTGGAACCACATAATGAGAGAGAATATAAGTAGGTATACCAAAATACCAGATTTCAAAACGATCAGCCTTCGTGCAATCGGCACGAACCCTGTGTCTCAATTTATAGAATTCGAAGTAATCAGTCTAGTTGAAAAAAACAGACATCACCAGAAGATGGCAAATGAGACTTTGCCGAAAACGTTGTGAAAATAATCCTTATGGGGAGAAAATACACAGAACACGGAGCGAAACCCGAGAAAACAGCTCATCATACTTTATCCGTGAGAATCAGAGGATTTCTCGGTTAAGAAATCTGATTCAACAATTCAGACCTTTCTAATGTTTGTACGTTATTACACTGTTGACAGAATAGGATCTACTGTAGTTATTACAGAAGGTTAGAGCATACCTATTTTTCGTTCTGTAGACAATCAGAAAGTATTAGAGAGCTACAACCTGAAGTAAATAATCAACTCACTTGTTTCCTGCAATGAATTCGACTTGTTTCTGTGTCTCGATCGGGCAAAAACTCTTGATATACTACCCCAGGTACCACCCCGCCCGCTAGATGGCCTCATCGATTGTTTGCTTCTTCTATTAACTGTTATTGGTTCTGGCTCCATGGGAGAACTCAGTTGTTCCACAGACCTGAAAAATTATCGGAGACATGAAAATGTTTGAAAAAGTATGGATTTAGGTAGGTTATTTCTCAAAACTGTTTGATGTTTCGGTTTCCTTGACATTTCACCGGTGCAAGAGACTGGCATCTGTTTCTGTAGAGTGGGGAGGGTGGCCCATTGTACATCCTCCCGAGGAGTTGTCCTCCTAGGTCATCGTCCATCATGTCCTTTTCAGGAAGGTGGACAGGTCACTAAGAGACATCTCCTTCATATCGGCAGGAGTAGGCCAAGACTCGCCAAACGCACACTCTCTTATTGACGATAACACTGGACACTCGCATAGGTAGGTAGGTAGGTCTAAAGTGAGTGGGTCTATTCGACCCTCCACCGTAACCCATAAGGGTTTATTGTGGCTCACACCTATTTACACTCGGCCAAATAAACCCAGCTTCTTAACGAAGCCGATTAGTTTGTATGGTGAGTGGTCTTTCAGGTCAGATGGGGAGAGTACCGATCTACCGAACTCAAAGAACCTGATACGGTCCCCAGCGGGGCAGGCACAAAGTATATGCTCTGCAATTTCATCATTTTCCAGACAGAGGCGACACACACTGTCTTCCGACAGTCCAAGTCTCTGCATATGATGATTCAAATGACAGTGACCTGTAAGAAGGCCTGTTAGACATCGTAGTTCATCCCTACTGTAGTTCAACAACTGTTTGGAATCAAGCTTCGAAGGGTGAATAAACGCCTTGGAGTGAGCCAATCCAGGAAGATTCTGTCAGAAGCCATCTTCTTGCCATCCAGGTGTTAAGTGTTTGTTTGGCAAAGCCCAAAGCGATGCCATGACAGGTTCTGGTCCAATGAAGCCGCTTGCAGCACCCTCCTTTGCAAGAGAGTCAGCAGCTTCATTGCCTTCCAGGCCAGTATGGCCAGGAATCCAGACCAGAGACAATCTGTTTAGTCTTCCTATCGAGGAGAGTTTTTTTGACAGTTTGCTACCAATTTAGACGTTGCTCGGTGGGAGCCAAAAGCTTCCAACGCCGCTTGACTGTCCGATAATATTTTTATTGACTTGTGAGTGAGGTGTTTTTGATCCATCTATGAACCAACAACTATCTGCTGTTAATATTTCCTTCTTCCGCAGGATCCAGTCCTCTCTACTCGGAAATAGTACTTTATAAGGCAGTTCGTAGTTGACAGTTGAAGGCATAAAGTCAGAGGTCATTTCCAGAATGCTGTGACTTCCAATGTCAACCAACAGTCTGTTGCACTCTGCATAGAATTGATTTGTGCAATTGGCAATGTGCACAAGTCTGTATGCAGTCCATCTAGCCTCTCTTTCCAGAAAAATGTGCAGAGGAGGTAGATCTAGAAGGATCTCCATAGCCGCTGATGGTTTCGTACTGATGGCACCACTGATAGCCAGACAAGCTTGTCTCTGTTAGCCAGAAAGCTTCGCTTGGACCGTTTTCTGTAAAGCCTTCGGTCACCAAGCAATTGCACCATACGTGATAATTGGTCTGACAATCATCACATAATTCCAATGAATTTGTTTGGGACCCAAACCTCAAGTTTTACCACAAATCCTTCGACATGTCCATAGAGACAGTCTGGCTATGTGTAAAACTTTTTCCAAGTGAGCATAGATTTTTCCTGCTCATCGCCAGATCTTTCTTCGGCGCCAGCTTCCCAGGGTCGCTCAAGATGATTCTGACAAGATTGCATCCTTTGATTTCATCCCATCTCTTCAGGAATTGAGCATGGATTTGACGTTTGGCTAGTTCCGCAATTGTCAAAGTCATCAGGCAGTAGGTGTCACTGAGTCCTAAAATTCTTAGTCCAGCCGCTTCCTTGGCTGAACAGTCGGCAATGCGATTACCTTTACTCCTGTCGTGCCCTTCAACACACCTCAGGATAATGTTATTATTTATCAAAGATTTGGCTAAATCTTGGTGGCACTTTAGTACTAGCCCTGAGGTAACACGTTGTGTGTTCAAGGCTAATAGGGCTTGTTTGCTGGCATATCCAGAGGTCCGCGTTATCGCTTCCAAGATTGGAGGTATACTGGCATGCTTGTGGACGTAGTGACATGGAATGCCAATCGAATAATTTCGAAAATAACCTAATTTTCGATTATTTCAAATGCATATTTGATGTTCATCATGAGTTGGCATCTCTTAAAATATTGTCAGCTTCTGATTAACGATTTGAGTATATCTGCCCCACGCATTTGTGTACAACGACCCGGGAGACGCTTTCAACCAATCAGCGAAGAGAAGGCTGCGATTTCACTGCGCGAGAGAAAAAAACACAAACTCACAGACTTCAAACGAGTCCAATCCATGATTAACCAACAGCTCACATCCCTAGATGAGCCCCCCCTCAACCATCCCAGACAAATAGACGGACGAATAGACAATAGAATAGAATAGACATTGCCATCTCAACTACAACCAGACAAATCGACTCACCTCCATTCCAACCCTACCTAATGACACTAATCAAAAACAAACGCAAACTATACAGAAACTACGTACGGACCAGACACCCCACACAAAAGACCGAATGGAACAGACTTAACGCACGCACACGTTTCCTCATCAATCGATTCATACAGAAAAGGTGGAGGGGGAAGATTAGAAAAGTAGACTATAGGGACGGAACAGAACTCTGGAACAAGAAAAAGGCATAACCAGACAAAAAACAGTAAACTGAGAGTCACCTAGTGATTGACGGAAACATCATTTCCAAACCAACAAGAAATGCAGCAACCTTCGCGAAGACCTGAGACTCACGTATAAACTAATAACTAATGTACACTTTGACAACCGACACTTGAAAAACACACAACAATAAGTAATTGCACACCTAGGCAGACATCTCGGACAATCCAAACTATCCCCCAATATCCCCAGTCAGCCAATAAAGCCATCCACCAGCCGCCTGGAAACAGACAAACACTCACAACCCCACGAAACCCGAAACTCGGCAAACTACTAGAATGACTAATGATAAACAGGTCTTACAACTTCTTACACGAAAACAACATAATCTCCCTACACTAATATGGAGTTAGGCCGGAATACTCCACCCAAGACGCCCTCGTCAGACTCCACACCCATATAACCCAAAACCTAAAATCCTTCGGCACAGTTGAGATTCTCCTAGACGTACAAAAAGCCTTGGACAAGGTTTGGCACGCGGGCCTGAACTGGAAACTCATCCAAATACACCATCTATCACAATTGAACCCAGGTTTGTGTTTAATAAACCCTACAAAATACAAATCAAGCAGAACACAGAGTCAGATGTTACAAATGCAATACGGATTTATACAGATGGCTCAAAAACCAAAGAAGGCTCAGGATGTACTCCAGATCACTAAGCCTAAGGAGTAAGTGGGGAATGGGAAGAAATACCAGCGTGGTCCAAACAGAACTGGCTGGTATCTCAATCGCCACAAAAGAAATAACCAAGAAAAGAATTTCTGGCAGAAACATTACAATCTGCACTGATAGCAGACAAGCACTATTAGCCTTGAACAGACACCGTGTTACTTCAGGGCTAGCACTAGAGTGTCACCAAGATTTAGCCAAAGTCTCGGTAGATAATAACATTATCCTGAGGTGGGTTAAAGGGCACGACAGGAGTAAAGGTAATCGCATTGCCGACTCTTTAGCGAAGGAAGCGGCTGGACTAAGAATTTTAGGACCAAGTGGCACCCACAGCCTGATGACTTCGACAATTGCGGAACTAGTCAAAAGTTACACCCATGCTCAATCTCTAAAGAGATGGGATGGAATCAAAGGATGTAATCTTGCCAGGATCACCTTGGGCGACCCTGGGAAGCTGGCGCCGAAGAAATATCTGGCAATGACCAGGAAAAATCTACGCCTTACAGTTGGATTTCTGACTGGCCACTGTCAGCTAAGGAAACACCTACATAATATGGGGCTAGTGGACACACCTCTATGCAGGATGTGTGAACAGGAAGATGAGACTGTCAGGCATGTCCTGTGAGAGTGCCCGGAGTTATCGTCAATAAGAGAGTGTGTGTTCGGCGAGTCTTGGCCTACACCTGCCGATATAAAGGAGATGTCTCCCAGTGACCTGTCCACCTTCCTGGAAAGGACAGGATGGACGACGACCTAGGAGGACAACTCCTCGGGAGGATGTACAATGGGTCACATGTGGCCTAAGTGCGTGGGCTTACACTCACCCTCCCTACTCTACAGATACAGATACACCATCTATCACACTTCATCAGATTACTTGCCTCCTACCTGGCCAACCGACGAATCTGCATTAAAGCTGGAGTTCCACTCGGCTCTATCCGAACCCCTTCCCTATTCCTAATGTACGTGCATGACGTCCCAACCACCCAAAAAATCCTACAATATACAGATGACACAATGCTCACTTTCACTCGTATTACCCGAATCCTACAAACTTGATCCCAAACAATGATAAACCACTTTGAGCACTGGTTCAACAAGTAACGCATTGAAATAAACCTAACCCAAACCATACTTTTCAGGCACCCAAATACCGCAACCCGCCCCAAAATAAATACCGACAACTGGAACCTCAGACTTTTAGAAGAGAACTTCCAATGCCAAGACTTGGTGACCTACTTGTGGGGTACTTCCACAAGGACCCTCAACTGTAAAACCGACCTAAGAGAAACTCCGGAAAAGAGCAAATCCAAAAGTGCTGAGAGGACAGCTTTCATAAGACCTGGATTATAAAACCACGAGGGAAGAATCCTACGCAACATCCAAACTTCCCATTCCGATACCCCTCTCAAGATTTGTATATCACAGTAAAAATTACCACAATTAGCCTAATATTTCAGGAACTCCAAGGCCGATACGCCGCAAGAACAATGAGCAGCACCAACACCGCCGCAATCAACACACCTGGACACTTCATGGAAGCTCCAGAAGGATTTCGAGGAAGAAGCTTCTGTTTTCCCCAGTCAGACTCCTAGAAGCCATGTAAGACCCGACAGAGCAGATCCAGGACAACTTCGAGGAGTACCCATTGATGATCAGATAATGGACAGCACAAAGCCTGAAATATACACCCTCCCTAGGCCTACTCAAACCTGAACCAGCAAAAATCAACTACCGCAATGGACCCGGACCATCTAAATTGTTAAAACCAACTGATAACTCAGATTAGGATAGATAAGGTAGATTGAGAAAGATAAGAATAAAAGCTTGTAAATCAACCATGATCTTAAAGAGGCATGATGTAGATTTGGAAGGAGTAGAAATTACAGAGTCAAAAAAAATCATTTGGTAGCATATTATTCAAAACCATACTGGGGTATCCACTGCCCTGCTTTATATAGGAACAACAAATCATAGATAAACAAATTCGGCAAAACAAAACATCGCATATTTGCTATCCACATCTTTTTCAGTCCGCCACGTGGGGAAGGAACTCCAAAGGGGTGAAGACACGGAACCATCCACAGTCTAAGTCTGCGCGATGGCCTGTGAGAGTCTTTCGTACGATAGCTCTGGGTTGACACATTGCTACACAGGAAGTTAGGTAGATTCGCGTGCTGTGTATCAAGATAAGGTTCAAGGATCGTAGGGATCATCTTGAATACGTCAGTAGCCATCGTGGTGGCCCTGAGATGAACAATCAGTTGGCTTACCTATTTTTTAGGACTGAAATATCAACGCATGTATGAATTCGTCCTTAACGGTTGGTTCTCGATTGAACTTGACAAGTAACAAGAGAAAAACTAATACAGAAGTATAGGCTGGTGTCAATGCTGGTGTCAATGTTTTGGATGGTTTCCGGGTTTTGCCGTGGTCTTCTTTGGTTAGAATCTCCAAAAGTTTCGATTGCAATTGCGACAGTCATCTTCAGTGGCTTGGTCAAAGTACTCTTCTTGACTTGCCAACTGAAACTGAAGCTCCCATTTCTGCCGTGTCATTTGAAGTGCTGATTTTTCGTGCACTTTCTATAATGGCGGGTTTGTTCATCTTCCCGCGCGATTTGGTTGACTTGGCTTCATTTTGGCACTTTTCAATTCTGAGTGTGTATCTAATTTCTAGCATATATGCCAATATAGAAGCATAAACTGCGGTAAATTCCTGGGTTCGATTTAGGACATTGATCATATTTATACACCGACCTTGTGCAATACTGATTTTTTGGTGGACCTATACATTGTCCTAATATTGAGTTTTCCAAAGAGGCGGCCAATCCTTTGGGTTACTTTTGGAACTAAAGGTCACAAAGCCTTTGTCTACCGCTTTAGATCGATTTTCTTCGCTTTCCATGAGGCAAAAGGGACTGCAGAATGGGACGCATTACGCACCCTCGAAGTCACCCAACTTCTTGTCCTCGGGATTTCACAACCGGTTAGTTCTTGAGGTAATTGAAATCTAGAAATATGACAACAATTTCAACCGGAAGAAAGAAACAATGGACAACATCTGGACACCAGAAACACCATTACGCCGAGATTACCCGGACCGACTGAGCAGATCGGGTCTACCAAATAGCCCGCACGATCGGTCTGGAGTTCCTTCTTCCTCTCCAGACCCTCATAAATATTGCCAGCGTTTACGAACGCACCAGTGTACCTTCAATATGGAAGATATCAGCCACTCGCGATGGCAGAAACGTCAGGAAGAAATTCCAATAAACGAAGGACTAAAAACTCAAAACAACAAACAGTTTCGAAGTTAGGAACAATTTCAGGTATTTATATAAACAGTCAACATGAGTCTTACCTTGATAAAGTAGCAGGATCTACTGATCTAGAAAACGTATTGGAATTTAAAGGTGATAATGTTGGGCTGCAGTCTTTGGTTGAAGCTGAAAAAAATCAAAATTATATTAAAAAATTAATACATGTATCGACAACAATGTTTTATAGAAAAAAAACAACACCAGTTTATGATTCATTTCATGTCGTTATTGTCAATATAATATCTCAAAGAGGTTTCACAGTGGCAGAAATAAGTAGGACGAGGGGAACTGAAACTCCCTCAAAAGCCTTTGCAAAACGTGCCACATGGCCTCAGGGTGATATGCGGTCACGAACGACCCTCTTGGGGACCTGGGCGAAACATCATTGTAATCAGCCTACCTTTGGTAATGCGGGACTCTGCCAGAGGTGACCAACTCTTTCCTTGCTACTCGTGAGAAGACACATGAATGAAACAAACACAAAAACAGAAATAACAAAAACCAATAACGAAGCAGGACAGAAGTGCTCACCTCAATCTAAGGCGGTGGCTGGAGATGAACAGAAATGTCCACCCCAATCTACCGCTTGGAATGCGGCTGAACATATCAGATCACCTCGTGAAGTAATACAAAGGCCAAGGCTTAAGCGCATTTGCGGCGCCGAGGCCAAAAGGAGAAAGAGAGCGAAGGAAGCAGGAGTGGCAGCAACTATAAGTGCACCCTCCTCCTCCCACACTCCACCTTCAACAGCAAGGGTACTTCCTGCGGGGGCACCAAGAGCTCCGCTTTGGATAAAGACAAGGAACCGGCTGCCCCACAGGAAAGCTCCCTCACTTGTGCACCTCCACGGAGGAAACCCCAAGAAGGTTTGAAGAAGTCGTGCAACGACAGTAATGTCGCCTGACCTTCCAAAACAGTCGCGGAGGCCACCTTGAGACACCTCAAGATTGCCAAAGGAAGGAGATGTCTCCTAGCGACCTGTCCACCTTCCTGGAAAGGAGAGGATGGACGATGAACTAGCAGTACAACTCCTCGGGAGGATGCAGAATGCGTCACATGTGGCCTAAGTGCTGTGGGCCTACACTCACTCTCCCTACTCTACAGATACAGAGATAGGTTCACGAGTGAAGTTTTTCAATCGCTCACGGATACTCATGAAAAGTGTTGGTATTGATACCTCCAACACCAATTAGAACTAATTTAGCATATTCGACGATATAATCCAATGTCAGTAATGATACCGTGTTTAGGTTTGTTTATAGAACGCAATTTGTTTGTAGATTTGCTTCGCTCTGATCGGTCATTACCATGTTCCACTGAACTCAACATTGTTGAAGTAAAGAAAATGGTGATTGAAAATTCGTCGTTGAAGTCTGAGAGAGATAGCAACATGAAACGCGTGCCAAAAGATTTAAATGCGTATAGGTCGCTAAAGACATGTTAGAACGAGGAAAGTGTGACTCCACATTCCTAAAATGCATCTTTGTAAACGAATTTTTAACAAAAATACTCAATAGCCACCGTATCACCCTGATATGACTACATCTTCATTTAGTAGGTTCAAGTATATTCTACTATCTAAATCAATGGATAGTAAATGGCGATTTATTTTCAAAGCACTTCAAATGATCTCCATAATAGTTTTAGATGATTTTTCCCAATATTCTCATACATTCCAAAACATTGTGTTCCGCACTGACGTTCACAATCCTAATATTAGATCGAAAGGTACTATACCACCATCAATCCATAAATCATTATTGTTTGAGAGAAGTTTTTTTTTATAATAATAGTGTTATGTAAACAAACATGTGTACCAACTGTTGGTGATGAAATATTTCATTTGTTGAAAACTCAATATACATATATATAATATAATGATACTATATCTTGAAAAAAAGAGCTAATATATAATTTTTATGGTCACTTTCGGTTTTAACACGTGGAAATACATTAAAATCATCTAATTTCAACCCCAAAACAAAAACTTTGTTGTGTTGTGTATTCAGAAACCGGTTATTCGAATCAGCACATAAATCTATAATTTATTACAAGGCGTAGTTCAGGCTACGCCTGTGTTCTATTGAAAGAAGAATATCACTGTTATTATTATTATTTCCTGAGTCATTCAAATACACTTGCCCACAATATTTTATGGGAGCCAAAAATGAACAGAAAAAAATCAACTGGAGGCAAAACGAATGGCCTCCATGATCACCATATCTATCTCTTCCTGATTCAAATCGTCTACTCACTTTGGTACATGTGCGGCGGCGGTACAGACGACACTAGCGACACGGAGTCCAAATCCTTGTGGCCGTCCCCTAAAGTAATAGTGGGCGTTCCTTCGGTCGTGCTGTCGGACAAATTACCGGCCACGGAGGTGGCGCCACTCTCTCTATCCGAACTAACTCTCACTCCGGAATCGGCGCTGCAGCTACCCCTGTCGCCCGGAAGCTGGCCCAGTCCGTGATGGCCGGACAGCAAACCTCCCGATCCAGGGGTAAGAGCGCCGCCGTTGATGCTGTGTCGCGGCAGCGACGCGAGGGATTCCTGATCGGAGAGGCAGCCGCTCGTTGCCAACTGTCTCCTGGCCTGTAGAAAAAAATCATGTCATTCAAAGGCAATTTTTCAATCGACCACATAGGATAAGGATTTCGTTTAAAGAACTTTATTTTTTTCTGAGTTGGCTACTCTGGTATTCGTCACACATGTCAGTTGTCATATGTCAAGAGGTTTCGTGTTTAATACTTTTTGATAAGAAAGACAATAGTGCTGCATCACTGATCGCCAAGAGGGTTCCACCATTTTTTTTTAAAGAAATGCGTTATGTTTTCTGAAAATGTAGGTATCTATGTTAAACAAGTTATCATCTCAACGATAAATTTTGAAAAAACCAAATATTCGACTTTCAGTTCTTGCCAAAATTCTTCACCAAAATTAGGTCCACTCAAAATTAGTGAGAGTATCGAAATCTTTGAGGCTGATTCTATCAAGTAATTGGGCATAATGATTGTCAAACATTTGAGAACTCCGATATACTGGCCAAGAAACTCAGTGCAATTAGAATTATGTCTTACATGAAATTTCGAAAGATGTACGTAAAATGGGATAATGCAAACTCGAGTACTTATGACTTGGAAGTTGGAGTTCCACAAGGCTCAGCCTTGGGACCATTAATGTTTTTACTATACATAAATGATTTGCCACAACATATCGGCACTACTTCGATAGTTCTTTTTGTCGATGATACTTCTATTTCTGCAGAATCCGACAGTCCTTTGGATCTTCAAGAAAAATTGAATGTAATAAGTCAAAATTTCTCAAAGTGATGTCAAAAAAATAGACTTATGGTCAATGCAGAAAAAACAGTATTGGTACAGTTTTCTCCAAGAAAATATGTGGAACATCCCATACATGTTATTATAATTAACACGAATATATACCCTTTAGAGTCCACAAAGTTTTTAGGAGTTCACATCGACCACTCATTGAATTGGCAATGTCAAGTTGACTACGTAAGTAAAAGCAGTTTCTATGCCTTAATGCAGCTTAAAAAATACTGAGTGAAGAACAACTGTTAGATATTTACTATGCTCTTGTTAATTCTGTTCTATCTTTTAATGTGGTCTTATGGGGAGATGCAACAAATATTAACAGGGTCTTTATTGCTCAGAAATGAATAATTCGTATGCTTCACAATCTACGTCATACTGATTCATGTAGACCCGTTTTCAAGCAAAGGAAGATATTGACAGTACTTTCTCTCTATATTTATAACTGTCAGCTCTTTGTGAAAAAACGGGAACTCGAATTAAAAACTAACTCCCAATATCATAATTACTCAACAAGGAACGGGAATTTAATCAAACTACAACAACATCGTACACAATTATTCGAAAAGACGCCATCTCTAGCAGGTTCTAAATTTTTCAATTGTCTACCTTCTGGCCTAAAAAGTGTAGCATCAAACGGAGTATTCAAACGGAGAATCAGAGACTATCTTGTAGATGGTTGTTTTTACAATATTAATGAATATTTGGAATATTCACATTCGCCAATCAACAATTAATATAATTCCGGCATGACCTATTTCAACTATTATGTACATGTTTAAACACTTTCAATTGTTTATTCTAAACAAGCACTCTCATGTGTTGAATTTATGTATTTTGTACTAATGTTTATATACATTTCATGTTTTTTACCATTGACGACTCCTATATCATTGTGAAGTGATCATTTTAAGGAATGAAGGTATTGTATTGTATTGTATTGTATTGTATTGTATTGTATTGTATTGTATTGTATTGTATTAAATATGGTACAAGATATAAATTAACATATTCTTTGAAAAATAGAATGATAAAAACGATATCTCAAAAAAATTACATGAAAATGATTCCTCCTCAATATATTGGTGAAATCGTTCACCTTGCTCTCCACTCGAATCTCCTAAATTTTCTGAATGGTGGAAATGGAGAATACTTGCTTTCAAACTCAGTAAGTAACCTAAGGCTTGAAATGCCTTTAACATTCTTTAGACGATTTGTTTGTACTTAGGGTCGTTTTTATTGCCTAAAAATTTCTCTATGATCTATCTTCCTCTTTCAGGATCCGTCATGAATGTGATGAACGTATCAACCATACACCGTGTGATCCAACGAAAACATCTTCCTTCTACTTTGCCTCTGAGAGATCTGGAAACTTTGAAATCAAGTATTCGAAGCAATTTCCATCTCTCAGAAGTGACTTTACAAATTACTTCAGCTTTTTGCGAAGCGGTGGTAGAAGAACTGTATGTGGAACCATCAAAGTTCTTGTCGCCAACGTTCAGCTCCCTTGGAGGTCAACACTTTTTTGGTCTAGTGATTTGCTTGGTTTCTACTATCCCACAGATACAAAGTGGAAGGGAATTTGGTAAACTCAGATTGTTGTCTGAGCAACAGGTCCAAGATTTTTGAATCACCATACCCTTGCCAACAGTGGTCTTCATATTTTAACTTGCAAAGAATCAATTCCAGGTTCTTGTAGGTTTCCTTCAGGTGTACGGAATGACAGACAGGAACGGAGGCATAGGAACCGCCATTGTGAAGCAAAACTGCTCAAGGCATCTTTTTAAAGCATCTATGAAAATACACCACTGTGCTGGGTCATATGAGATGTTAAACTTATCTAACAAACCTTCAATATTCGTACAACAAACCAATTCGTCCTCTTGGGCAAACCTTCGTCAGGGGGAATCAAGGAGGATTGTACCCCCTGCTGAAAGTTCTACAACCAACGGCCAATCAAAAATTATATTAAATACAACGATTGGCTTATTTGAACATCACAGGAGCTATGAGAATTACACCAACCGCTGCAATGGAATTAATCACTGGTCTATCTCCTCTGGACCTGTACGTTAAGGAGGTTGTGTTAATGGCCATGTTACGATTGCATACGGCTGGTGTAAACCTCAAAGTACGAATGGGTCAACTGAGGCTGTGCCTATGGCGAGAAGCGCTCACTGCGCAACCTCTGCTGCAGGCAACCAGTGATGCAATTGTACCCAGGTTTATGTTTAATAAACGCTACAGAATACAAATAAAACAAAACACAGAGTCAGATGCTACAAATACAATACGCATATATACAGACGGCTCGAAAACCAAAGAAGGCTCAGGATGTGGAGTGTACTCCAGATCACTAAGCCTAAGGATTAAGTAGGGAATGGGAAAAAATACCAGCGTGGTTCAAACAGAACTGGCTGGTATTTCAATTGCCACAAAAGAAATTACCAGGAAAGAAATTTCTGGCAAAAAAATAACAATCTGCACTGATAACAGACAAGCCCTATTAGCCTAGAACAGACAACGTGTTACCTCAGGTCTAGTACTAGAGTGCCACCAAGATTCAGCCAAAGTCTCGGTAGATGATAACATTATCCTGAGGTGGATTAAAGGGCACGACTCTTTAGCCAAGGAAGCGGCTGTACTAAGAATTTTAGGACCCACTGGCACCTAAGGCCTGATGACTCAGACAATTGCGGAACTAGCCAAAAGTTACACCCATGCTCAATCCCTAAAGAGATGGGATGAAATCAAAGAATACAATCTTGCCAGGATCACCCTGAGCAACCCTGGGAAGCTGGCGCCGAAGAAATATCTAGCGATGACCAGGAAAAATCTACGCTTAACAGTAGGATTTCTGAGAAATATCTGGTGATGACCAGGAAAAATCTACCCTCAACAGTAGGATTTCTGACTGGCCACTGTCAACTAAAAAAAACACCTCCATAATATGGGGCTAGGATGTGTGAACAGGAAGATGAAACTGTCAGGCATGTCCTATGTGCTCACCTGGAACGCTCACTTGGAAAAATTTTTACACAAAGCCAGACTGTCTCTGTGGACATGTCGAAGGATTTGTGGTAAAACTTGGGGTTTAGGTTACAAACAAATCCATTGGATTTATGTGATGATTGTCAGACCAATTATCACGTATGGTGCAATTGCTTGGTGGCCGAAGGCTTTACAGAAAACGGCCCAAGCGAAGCTCTCTGGCTTACAGAGACAAGCTTGTCTAGCTATCAGTGGTGCCATCAGTACCACACCGTCAGCGGCCATGGAGATCCTTCTAGATCAACCCCTTCTCCACATTTTTCTGGAAAGAGAGGCTAGATGGACTGTATACAGACTTGTGCACATTGCCAATTGCACAAATCAATTCAATGCAGAGTGCAACAGACTGTTGGTTGATATTGGAAGTCACAGCATTCTGGAAATGACCTCTGACTTCATGCCTCCAACTGTCAACTACGAACTGCCTGGATCAAAAACACCTTCCGGTTCTGGTGCAGGTGTTTTCAGTCGCAGACCCAGGACAGAGTGATCTAACTGCCTACAAACTTTACGCTATTGAATTGTGTGCGGAGAGATTGGATAAATCCAACCTCACTCACAAGTCAATAAAAATATTCTCGGACAGTCAAGCGGCGTTGGAAGCTCTCGACTCCAACCGAGCAACGTCTTAATTGGTAGCAAACTGCCAAAAAAGACTTTCCTCAATAGGAAGACTAAACAGATTGTTTCTGGTCTGGATTCCTGGCCATACTGGCCTGGAAGGCAATGAAGCTGATGACTCTCTTGCAAAGGAGGGTGCTGCAAGTGGCTTCATTGGACCAGAACCTATCATTGCGAGTGTCATGAGTTTTCGTCAATAAGAGAGTGTGTGTTCGGCGAGTCTTGGCCTACACCTGCCGATATAAAGGAGATGTCTCCTAGTGACCTGTCCACCTTCCTGGAAAGGACAGAATCGACGATGACCTAAGAGGACAACTCTTCGGGAGGATATGCAATGGTCGCATGTGACCCGAAACACAATGGAAAAACCTTACGGCAATGTGTGTACAAACTTTCAAAGATCTTGGCGACACTACCTGTTCCCACATGTACCCCTGAAAGGAATTTCTCTTCTCTGAAACGACTCAAAACTTATTTAAGAAACTCCACAAGCCAGGAACGACAAAACGGTTTGGCGTTTTGGCGGTTTGTCATCGTAGAATTGACATCGACACCGAGGAGATAATTGATTTGTTCGCTGCAGAGAAAGCTAGAAAACTAAATTTGATTATGTAAAAAGATGTTAATATACTTAAGAAACTTTCCTATTATGGTATCCGTGGACTGTCCCTTAAATTCTTTGAATCCTATTTGTACGATAGATCACAATGTGTATCATTACATGGGATTAAATCGAATGTGAAATCTGTCAAACATGGTGTGCTCCAGGGTTCTGTACTGGGACCAATCTTGTTTGTATTATATATAAATGACCTATACTACCACATACTTCCTAAAAAATGTTTTCTTTTTGCGGATGATACTACTTTGGTGGACTGTCACGGTAGTGTTAATGATTTGAGTGTTTTTGCCAACGCCACCATAAAGTCTGCAAGTAACTGGTTTGTTTCAAATAGACTTCTCCTTAATGAGGCTAAAAATCAAAATCTTATAATTTCCACAAATACGTATTTAACCTCGGGTAAAAGTGTTAAGCTACTGGGAGTTCATACAGACGACAGATTGAACTGGTCATGTCATGTTGACAAATTGGCCAAGAAATTATCAAGTGCAATATTTATGATTCGTAGACTGAAGGATTTCGCCGGTATCAGAGCGGTCAAATCTTCGTACTTCGGACTCTTCCATAGTCACATGGTATATGGCATAGTGTTGTGGGGGTATTCTTGTCAAAAAAAAAAAATTTTTATATTGCAAAAAAGAGGCATACGTTAATATCTAATGCCAACTTCAAAGATCATTGTCGCCCACTTTTTATTCATCTCAAAATAATGCCGCTTCCTACTGCTTTTGTATATGAAACATTGATTGAAATTCATAAAAAAAATCAAAATACATTTTACAATCGCAACAACATGAATATCCTACAAGATCAGGAAATCTGATAAGAACTGAGAGATTCAGACTGAGCACCTCACAAAATAACTCATTGAATTTGAAATTTTTATTATTTTTATTATTTATTTCTTTCGTTATTTTTATATTTCATGTTTTTCTACTGTTCCACAAAACCAACTCCACCCCCCCGAAATTGTTTTCTGACTACGGTCTTGCTCTTGGGCGAAATAGGACACAGTAGAAAGTAATGATAGTTATGGCCTGTATACATTTTGAAATGATAATGAAAATGAAATTGTACCTTCTTATTAGCAACTTCAAGTTAGCCCAAAAAACCCCTGTTTTATAATTAAGTTTTGCAATCTGGAATCCAGACGGCATTTTTGATTTAGACTTGTGTTATTCCTGCCCATTCTTGCAGTTCCGTTCAGTTTGATCTTTCGGCCAAGTCTCTAGGCCAGTAGGTTAGGTTAGGTTAGGTTAGTTAGGTTAAGTAGTACGTAACCTAACCGGTTAGTACTACCTACGTTAGGTTAGGTCCAAAGTGAGTGGGTCTATTCGACCCTCCACCGCAACCTGCAAGGTTCTATTGTGGCTCGCCCCTATTCACACTCGACCAAAACAACCCAGGTTCTTAACGAAGCTGATTAGTTTGCATAGTGAGTGTTCTTTCAGGTCAGATGGTAAGAATACGGCTCTGCCGAACTCTAAAAACCTGATTCGGTCCCCAGCGGGGCAGGCACAAATTATGTGCTCTGCTGTTTCATCATTTTCCAAACAAACGCGACACACACTCTCTTCCGACAGTCCTAGTCTGTGCATATGATGATTCAAATGACAGTGACCTGTAAGAAGGCCTGTCAGACATCGTAGTTCATCCCTATGCCAATGACAGGTTATGGTTCGATGAAGCTGCTTGCAGCCCCTGGAGGGAGTCAGCAGCATCATTGCCTTCCAGGCCAGTATGGCCAGGAATCCAGACCAGAGACAATCTGTTAAGTCTTCCTATCGAGGAGAGTCGTTTTTGGCAATTTGCTACCAATTTAGACATTGCTTGGTAGAAGCCAAGAGCTTTCAACGCCGCTTGACTGTCCGGGAATATTTTCATTGACTTGTGTATGAAGTTGGATTCTTCCAATCTCTCTGAACACAATTCAAAAGCGCAAATTTCCGCTTGAAATACAGTCGCGTAGGTTCCTAGGCAGGTTGATATCTCTGTCCTGGGTCTGCGACAGAAAACACCTGCAGCAGAACCGGAAGGTGTTTTTGATCCATCTGTGAACCAACAACTATCTCCTAGACCAGTAGCTACTTGATTAATTTTCAATTTGATTCATTATAAGACCCCCAACGGAGTTCGATCCGATAGTCTCTCTGAGCAGTATTGATTCATTCAGTGTATGTAATTTATTCAACAGCTTGAATGTTCTGTGTCGTTGTTCATCATCATCAAATATTAATCTAATTGCAATCGACTATAATATATCTTGGGGACCAAATCAGTTTTTTTTTAATCAAGCGAACCCCTTGATTACATTGTAGCCAGCATGTGCAATATCTTTTAAACCACTTTGGGATCTGAACGTTAATCTGTCATACCGGTATTACAACTCAGAAAAAAGTGAATAAGTTCCAATTGAAATTCTCATCTAATATGATGGTTCAACCTGCGTACAGACCTCCTGCAATTGTTCCTGCGCGTGCTGCAGCTGCAGTTCTTTGGCGTTGAGCTGCGCGGCTAGTGACAAACTCCTTTCGGCTTCGTCCCTGGCGTGTCTCAACAAGCTCCAGCGTTCTCTTTCCCTTTCTTCGCGTTCCGTGGAGAGTTGTTGCAAAGAGGTCTCGCTGTCTCTTGCCCGCTAGAACAAATGATGAAAGGAAGATAGGACCGACGCACATATGGGTAGTCATTGGAATCCAAAAAAAATATTTCAAGATCTAAATAACTAACAAAAAGGTATATTTCATCAGTTCGGACTTTCATTGTCAAATATAATACAAATTGATTTGAAAACCCCGAAAAACAATTGAAAAATTAATAAGATTAACCGAAAATAACAATTTTATTGAACAAAAAACTGAAATTACAAAGAAATAACATACAAGCAATAACCAAATAAATAAATATTCGTGTGTATAAGATGCTTGTAAACAACTTATAACACGAATTCAAGCATGTTATCGGTCTGTAATTCTTAGGAATCGACAAATCTCCGCTTTTGGGGATAAGAACGGTCCGCCCCTCGACAAACCAATCCGGAATCGGCTGCTCTCCGTCCAGCCATGAGTTGAAAACTCTGGTCAGATGGCGGTGGGTACTTGGCAGTTTTTTCCACCAATAAGTGTTCAGCCCATCTGGGCCTGGAGCAGCAAAGTTCTTGGAACCAACAACATTATATTATTATTATTATATTCACATATCACCAATTTTTTTAAATGGATCACCTCATATTGTTTCGCATTATCAGATGCTCCATGATGAGCAGATTTCAACAAAATATAAAACATACGGTCTGAAGCTTATGGTTCGGGAGCTACAAATTATTTGAGTTGAAAACGAGCCACCCTGAATAACTTTTTTAACAATGATTTGCAGGCAAAATAAAAAACAGGTCAACAATTATACAGGAGGTACATTTAGAAATATTCGTTCTAGAGACAAATATGGAAGCAATAAATCAGATTTTTTTATTAATTCTTGAATCAAAATCTGATAACTGGACAATGAGAAGAAAATGTTCTATAGCGAATGTGCAAAAACGTTTCCAACAACTTCCATACAATGCAACAAACAAGCTTCCATTTGGCGATACTTCGAGAGACTTCATTTCATCGATTACCATAAATCTTGTCTTGTCTAGGTTCAATCGATCATGAAAGAAGTATAAATTTTCAAAAACCAACTTACCTGGCCGTAGCTTCTGATGAAATCTCTCAATTCCTTCTCCTTATCTTCCAGGGTAGAATACAACTGCTTCATCTGGTTCAAGAGGTCAAATTTTTCTGCTTTCAGTCTTCGTTTATCGGCTTTAAGGGCTGGAATTGACAACCAAATTAAAGAAATAAGTGGGAGATACACGTACACTTAGCAAACGGAGTTCTAGTCCGCCATCTCAATAGAATCAGCACAAAGTATCTGAAATAACAATTCTTTCAGGCCAGTTTCAACTCACCTACACTGTGGGTAATGGATTGACACTAGAAAACAACTACTACCCTGGCTAATACCACGAAAGGAGTTGGATTATATCAGACAGGTTTCAGTGCAGGATTCTTTACAGAAATAATTTTTGTGTATGCTGTTAGTGATATAACTGCAGACATGTATTTTCAATTATTAGAACGGACCCACTCGCAGACCGGTATCGGGCTATTCGGCCTCTTGTCAGTGCAAAGTAGTGTCCTAAATCAACATGAAGTCGATAATTTCCCAAATCCTTTTCAGAGAAACATTTCTCGAACTAGGCCGAAACGAACGGCAAATAACATATTTGTCATCGCTCCATCTACCCGTGAACGAGGTAATCAACTGCATATCTGAATCACCCAATTCCTTGTATAAGGAACAAAAATCACATATACTAGGGGGGCATACTTGAAGACTTACTGTAAATCAAATTATCTGAAAGAACAATTCGCTCAGGTCAGTCTCAACTGTACACTGTTATCAAAAATCACAACCTGGATCACAAATTGTGTCATTTCTATGGGAAAACCTGGTGATGGAACGATAAAGTAGAGGAATATTAATGTATGTTTGGGAGATGACAAGAGTTCACGCAGAATTTTGAACCACCTGAGATTTTTTGTTGTTGTGTTATGTCGATGAAAAAATCAAAATTTCATCAGGGAGTACCCTTATAGGAAATTATGAAAACCAATTTAATATGCACCAGACTCAGAAATTATTCAATTAAAATGCAATTGACACCAAATATTTTTCATGTTGCCATGCGCCCTTAAGTGGGGGCTGACTACGATACATCTGAGCATAACGGATAAACTTAGGCCTTATGGGTTATCAGAAGCATCCAGGGAGTGGAAAAACTTTTGAACTTGAAAAATAGTCCGAATATTTTTTGTGAAAACTTTTTAACTCAAAACTGTTTTTGTAAAAACAAACTATCAAAGAAATACTGGCATTTTGAAGAAATGAGAAACTAAAATCGAAATCAAGTTAGAAAGTCATCACACTACAAAGCTTCACTTACTAGTCAAAGCCTCCTTAGCGAGCTGCAGCTTCATCTCCAGGGCGTACGTGTCCGACGTTTCGTCTTCGTTCTTCACGCCGGCGGGGGGTAAATTCTTGTCGCTGAGTACCGACGAAGCGCCGGAAACGACGAGACGTTTCAGTCGCGTCACTTCCGCCTGCAGGCGCTCGTTTTCCTGACGCAGACGCCTTATCGTGACCATCGACTTGGAGTAGTTCGAAGGGGAGGGGATGAGGGCGGAGAGGTCGTCGCGGTTGGCGCCGTCGTAGCTCCGGGGGGAGCGTGGGGAGGAGGAATCTGTTTTCACAAAAGCGTATTCACAAAAATGCTTCGGGAAAATCGTCAAAAAATGATTTACCGAACTGGTCAATTGAAAATAATTGTGATCTTCAATAAGTGGGCCATTGAAAACGCACCGTAAAGCATAATTGTCCCAAATAAGGTTTGAGTGATGAGAAATTCAAACCAAATCTGTTTAAATCTGTGTTTTTGTTAATTAGTTATCTAGTCTAATCAACAATTTCAAAAACATAAAAAATAGAGATAAAGGTCGTAAAAATATGAGCGATAGCTCATTCGATTCGAAAACACCTCTAGAAAATTTTTTTTAAAGGATTTTGGTGCAGGTAAAAAATTGCAATTGTTATTAACAAAATAAGAATTTAAAAAATGGTATTTAGTTTTTCGTTAATAACTCAAAAAATATTAATATTTGAACAATTTTGAAAAAAGCTCATTAAAGAGAAGGAAATTTCCGATAAAAAAGATCCGACTCCCGAAACTCTATCTCCATTATTTATAATTTTAATTTGACGTTGAAAATAGGGTTCCGCGCGGTTGTTACGGCATGCGTGCGCTGCCGCTAAAGACTGTTTATCAAAACAAATAATTTTTTTATAACATAAAATGTTATTTTAAAAATTTGAAAAAATCTAGTATCTTCTTAACACTTGAATGAATTGAGTTCCGTAGAAAAAAAATGTATCACCATTTTTCAAAAAGTTATTCAATTGTTAACTAACAAATTTTTTCCCAATCTCCGTTGGCATAAATAATGGGATAAAAGGTATAAATAATAAATTTGAAACTTCGTGGAGCCTTTTTGATATATATACTTCATACGATCCTGCGTTCATAAAAATGTATTAATTTGTTAATTATGATTTTTTATAACTATTGCAAAATGAAATATCTAAAATTTGTTGATAAAAATTTGTTTTTCAATTGATATTTACCTATTTCTGTTTTCAAAGTAAACAATGGTTGTTATCAACATAGGATATGGATTTTTTACGTAATTAATTTGTTAAATTGTTTTAAACAAATAGAGAAATTCAATATTTTTGAAAAACATTTTTTGCTATTTTGTTGTCTAGAGATAATTATGACTAAAAAAAAGTTTTTCTCAATTTTAATTTTCAATTGTTTAAAATCGATTTTTTTATATTTCGATTGTTTAAATAATTCGTTAAGAAATAATTTTGCTTTTAAAAATCATGTTTTACACTTTTGAATAGTTTGGCAAAAAAATTATTTATTATTTGTTTATTAGTTTAACAATTTGTTATAAACAAATATTGACCAACGTTATACTTTTTTATGAAGCAGAAAAAAATTATAAAAAAAGCTATATATAAAAAAGTGTCATAATTTTTTTTCTACCGGTCAAATATGAACAAATAAAAGAAAGTGCAGGACCTCTTATCCCATGAAATTCCAGTTTTTCGAGGAAGAGGTCATGAGAGACACAATCGAAAGCTTTCATGAGGTCACACAAAATTGAAACAGTATGTTTACCTTCTTCAAATCCTTTTATAATCGCGACGACAATTTGACAGACAGCGTTCACTGCTGATCTACCTGCACGAAAACCAAATTGGTGTTTGTGGAGAAGATTGAATTTTTCAAAATAGGCACTTAAACGGTTTTTTAAAATTATTTCGATAACTTTGCCAAGAGTACAGTTACATCAAATGCAAGTTTGAACAAAATAAAGTTGAGTTCAATTCATGATTTTTTAAATTCACTTCGAAAAGTATTCAAATTGATGTTTCAAATGTTGGGTTTTAATTTTTAACGGGATTTGTTTCTAATCCACATATTGGCAACAGCGCCTAGAACTTTACCTGCCATTCCTAAAAATATTTTACCTTGCATATAATATATCGAGTTGACATAATTTATACGTACCTAGATATTCTACTTTGAAAAAGGAAAATTATCTTTATAAATCAACAATTAAGGCAAAATATAAATTATAGTTCAATACCACCTCCACAAGCTACATAAACAACAGTTGTTTTGTTATTTATTTATATAGAGGAAGATAGGTTAGGTGTACAAAATGTCATATGCCACAGAATATCTCGGAACTCGGAACATAAGTAAACAGAACAGCATGCCTCTGGAATATTTCATCTTTGTTTGTCTCATACAGGTAACAGATTCATTGTCCTTTATTAGCTATTACCGATGTTGCCAAAAGGTGAAATAGAAACGAATCCCTTTAAATGTTGAATGCATTATTCCATTCCTCTTTTTTGAATATTTAAATAATTTTTTGAAGAAAAAGATTGAAATGATAAGTTTAAAATGCGATGTTTTAAAGCTTTTTTATGAAAACTACTTGATTTTCGTCAGAAGGAACATTCCCCATCCTTCATTGGGAGGGTCAGGTTGTTCAGAGCCATGTTTTCATCCGTTTGTCGACTCGGATGCACAAATTGATCGTACGTGTATTTGTTCGTCGACCCAACTGTACTCTCGTAAGTTGGACCCAGCTGTATCCTCCTTCAGTTGAGCAAGGATCGTATTAAGCGTACGATCCTTGCAATTTCTTTCAAAACTGCTACTATATTCCACATTGCCAATTTTCATTAGGAACCGATCAAGTAGAATTTTTTCATCAATTCGTGAACAATACTATAGCATTGAATTGAAGGGGTTATATTTTTAGGAGTGATAAATTTTTTGCTAAAGAAAGTTTTTGGCTTTCTACTACTCCATCTGATACAAAAAAAGGGGGATGAGAGAAGATTCTCTCATCCCTTTTTTTTTTTAATCAGATGGAGTAGTAGAAAGCCAAAAACTTTCTTTCCCAAAAAACTATAGCATTCTTCAGAAAACTTTTGTTAGCATTCCGAAGCGTGTTTTCTTGGATTTATGTGGAGAGATTCTTTTCTGGCAGTTTTCGAAAACCCACTTTATATAAGTAAGTTACATCATTCTGAGAAAAATCTAAAGACGTCATCAAAGAACTATCAAGGAAATAGCAACACTGGAACATAGCTAAAAACGTATTCATACCCACCTATATCAGGCTGACTGCTGCAACCAGGTTTCGGCGACTCTGAGCCCGTCTCCAGAGACGACCGGCTATCCTTCAAGGCGGTGACGCTCTCCTCGAGCGTCACTTCAATGGCGTCCTTTCCGCCATTTTCGACCTTCTCGTACTCGCCGTTAAGCTCTTCTTCCCTCATGGAATTCGACTTGGTCTTCCTAAAATCCTTCCTGTTGGCCTCTTCGCCGGTTTCCACACACAGAGACTTGCTCCTCCTCGTTTCCACGGCGATTCTGTCCGTCTGTTTGTTCGGCTTGTTGTTGTTCTTCTTGTCCTTAACGTCTACATCACAATCGTCGGTTTTCGCTTCTTCATTCGGGGGGATTTTGTCTACTGCCGAAGCAGGAGCGGGCGGCTCTGATGCTGCTGGCTTGGTCTCGCCGGGTAAGCAAACGGGGCTGGGGACGGGGACGAGGTTGGCGCTGGGGTAGTCGGATTCGATCCGAGAGCTGAGGTCGGTAGAGTTTTCTTCTACCATTCTGCGAAGCTTTGCCTGGAAACATAATCATTGAACTATTGAGTGGGATTATCTTTAGTGGGACTTGCTTTGAATATAACAACTTCCATAGCTCTTCATGATCAACTTGGTGCATGTATGTAAATAACAAGCCTGACTTGAAGTAAACATGAACATTTCCCCTAACGGATACGCCATCTATGCGTTTGATAGAAGACTCGAATCAGGAATATCAACTTTGACTGAGTTATTCAAAGATGGTTCCTTGCAAAACCAAGCTTCGATATTGACCCACCAACGAGACTCTTCTTGTGTTCAACAGCTCCATCTGAGGTTAGGTAACGAATTCTTGGTAGCTTCATCTTCTCCTAGTTGCTTTGCAGTGGAAGCTACAGTGAAAGACAGAGGACGAATCTCGTTTAGCGGTTGATGTCGAAGCTTGACTTTGAGTCTTCTTTCATCCATAACTGGCGTGTATTATCTAGGCAGTGGTTCTCAAACTATGGGTCGCGGGAGCAATTTGGGTGGGTCACGGGAGCAATTTGGGTGGGTCATGGGAGCAATTTGGGTGGGTCGCGGAAACAGATTAAAAACACTGAAAACTTTCGAATTGTTTTTCCCATTTTGGATAAAGGCTAGGGGAGAGTATCCAGTGGGTCCCCAGACAAAACAGTTTAGGAAACGTTGATCTATAGCGTTTTTGTAAAACTTTTTAGTGAAAATCTCACGATAAAGTGTTTCTTAAATATCGCCTTTCCTTATTGCACATTCGTCCAGAGTGTGCATACTGTTTGTTTGCCCAAAGAGAGTAGTATTCAATTGGAATTGAATATAAAAATGTCGATTGTTCAACACCAAAACAGCATTCGCGTTGGGAGTGTCAAGCAAACGAAAATTGTTTAGGCTAGAGCCTAGAAATCCACCAGGAGCTTCAATCATTAGTCCTACGTAGTTCCTGATCATGAAAAAATAAAGGTCGGACCATTTATTTTTGGGGTAGCTGAAATGCATTTTCAACAAAGAGCCTAAATAAAAGCTGCGGAACTTTATTCACTCCTACGTTTCATTAAGTTAAGCACTAGATCCCCGAAAGACAAGAACTAGACTTTTGCTTTCCTTAGCGTGAGTGGGCTAAAGTCGGGAACCAAAGGTTTCAAACAACTTGGTCTATCGATTCGAGTGGTAGATATAGAAGTTCTTGACGTGACATACAGGAGTACTATGATACAATTCGATCTTGCTGTCACAATATACAACATATGCGACCACAAAAAGACACTGGAAACATGAAACAAATATATATTTTCTCTGAGCTACAAAGACTCTAGCCGGACTACTCTTTTGAAATAGATGTTCTGAGCATAGGAGTCCCTGGTTGATCGAATCTCAAGATCATTCCGGCTTGCCTCAAAACGATAGAAATCCTAGCCAAACAAATCGATTCAACCCTGTATATATAACTTCCTATAGCTCTTCTTCTTTACAAAGCTCCATAATTTTGCGGCTCTCGAAATATTTCGAGTACATTATTGATAGAATTGTCAAGAAATTATTTTCCACGCCTTCTATATATATATAACATGCTGATAGCAAGT